AGGGTTTAGGGTTGAAGGTTTAGGTTGAGCACTGCCCCCCATGAGAGTAACAGTCTATAATAAGGTTATTATTAGGGTCTTATATGGCCTCAATATGAGATTTATTCAACTGCTACTAACGGTTTAGGGGTTAGGCGATTTAGGGGTTAGGGTTGGGGCTTAGGTCTTAGGGCTATAGGGCCGCAGTTCAGTATGAAGTCTTCTAAAGCCCAAAGGAAACTATAACACCCTATTCAAACAACACCAACCCCAAGCACCAAGCCCAAAATCCAAAACCCCAAACCAGAAACGCCTTTCTGGGTTCTCCAGCATCGCCTAACTCAAACGTTCTGGGTTCGGGGCTCCCTAAACCCTAAACCCTAGACCCTAAAACACTAAACCCCTAAACCCTAAACCATAAACCCTAAACCCCTAAACCCCTAAACCCTAAACCCCTAAACCCTAAACCCTAAAACCCCAAGCGGTGGAATTCGGGTTTAGAGCTTTGGGGAAAGAGCCCCCGCCTTTTGGCCAGAGTAGGCCCGAGGCATCTCGACGAGTTTGTGCATGGTCATGTTCAGGAACCTCAGTGGCATAGGTAGGGTTTAGGGTTTAGGGTTTAGAGTTTAGGGTTTAGGGTTTAGGGTTTAGGGTTCAGGGTTTAGGGCTCAGGGTTTGGGGTTTAGGGTTCAGGAACCTTAGTAATATAGGTAGGGTTTAGGGTTTAGGGCTCAGGTTTTTTAGGGGCCTTCATAACCAGAAAAGGGTTTTGGGCTACACCACAGCAGTGACATAAAAATGCCTTTGAAGAATTAAGGACTAATTGGCAGAAGTGAACGCTACGGTAAGAACCGGAAGGTTATCTAGACCCTAAACCCAAAACCCTAAACCCAAGGATTCCTGAGGAACCAACGATTGTACGGCAAATTTCGCATTAAGGATCCTAGGGAACGAACAAGGGTTTGTGGTTTAGGGTTTAGGGTTTAGGGTAGTTCTCACGGCTCTGAAACCTACAACCCCAAAGCCCAAACCTCGAACCCCAAACCCTAGAACCGAAACCATAAACTCTAAACCCCAAAGCCTCGCTTATACCAACGAACTGTGGGGTAAACTCAAGCTGAATCAACGGTTTAGGGTTTAGGGTTTAGGGTTTAGGGTTTAGGGTTTAGGGTCTTCGGGGTCATGGTTATCAAAGAAGACCTCGCACATGTCATCTCCACCACAAGTGTGGACACCGATCTTCAAGACGAAGTTCTCTGGATCAGCGTTGTCCACATCAAAGTCGTAGTCGCGACCACTTCTGACACCAATGACCATCTCTTGAAAGATGCCCACGATCAAACCCTAGACCCTAAACCCGCTAGTAGGCGCCACACTCTAACCCTTGGTCTTTGGTGGCTCCTTTCAGGGTTCCGCAGGGCTTCATAAGGGTTTAGGGTTTGGGGTTTCAGGGTTCCAGTAGGGTTCCACAGGGCTTTATGAGGGTGCTTAGGGTTAAGGCTCATAAGGATAGGCCTGAATAAATCGACTTTTGCTTTGGTGGTTCCGATACGGTCAATATAACAGGGAAAGCAGGAGAATCGCAATGCAGTATTACTACACTTTCAGGCCCGTTATGTTGGAAGCGTCAGGGTCTTCGAGTTTAGACCTACAGACACCAAAACCCTCCCCTTCATTAATTAAGGAATATACCTGGATCCCATACAAGGTGCACAGGGCGTTGGAATCTCTAACAACGTCAGCGTTTTAGTTTCGCGTTTCATAAGACTGTTGCTGAATTGGTGCTCTACGCGAGTGTACACGGATGACACATGCATCTATACAGTTTTAGGGTAGTAAGAGGATCTTCGAGAACCTTGCTCACACCTCTGTGCTGTGGATCGCAGGAGACCTACAGGTAAAAGCCGTAAAGTTGGAACATCATGACCCTGACACTCTGATCTAAACCCTAAACCTTAAACCCTAAACCCTAAACCCTGAACCTTAAACCCTAGACCCTAAACCTTGAACCCTGAACCCTGAACCCCAACCTAAAATCCCAAAACCAAAAAACCCAAAACCCTGAACCCCAACCTAAAATCCCTCAACCCCAAACCCTGAACCCTGAAACCCTCTATCCTAGACCCTGAACCCTAAACCTAAAATCCCAAAACCAAAAACTCTCTCTCCTAAACCCAAAAATCTGCAATCCCAAACCTCAAACCTTCCCCAAACCTGAGGGCCCGAAGACCTCAAACTCCGCAAGCCGTTTAAGCCCTGCGCTTTGAGACTTAAGCATAAACCAGATCGTGGTTCAGAGCGGTTTAGGGTTTAGAGTTTAGGGTTTTGGATTCAGAATTTCAAAACCCACAGGTTTTGATAGCCCCCAAATTCGGCGGGTAGCCATCGGCCAGGTGGGGTGCCACTGCTCTTGGCCTGCTGTTGGGATGCTGTTTAGGGTAATGTAGGGGGGGGGGTGGGGTAACCCTAAAATGTAAGCCCTAAGCACTAAACCCCAAGTCCTAAACCCCAAAGCCCTGGACCCTAAACCCGAAAAACTAAACCCAAACAGGGTTTTGGGGGTTGGAGGGCTTTAAAGACTTGGGCTTCGGGCTTTGCTAGGGTGTAGGGTGGCCCACTTTCAATGTTCAGGGTTTAGGGTCCATTTCTGAGGTTGCTTTGCCGGTTTAGGGCTTGAGGGTTCAGGGTTTGGGGTCCATTTTTGAGGTTGCTTTGCGGGTTTAAGGCTTGAGGGTTCAGGGTTTTGGGTTTTGGGCCTGGGTTTGGAATTTTTGCTTCCGCGGGAGCTGCTGCCCAAAGCCTGGACCCAGGCATCACGTGTGTATGCTGCAGCAGACGGTGGTTGGGAGGTTGCGTCTTTTTTACTCTGCGGGAACCTTCGGATTTTAGAACAACTTGGACCCAATACAACTAACTGTGGCAGGAAAAGCAGATAAAGGAACCCTGAAAATGTGTGCGTGTGTATATGTATATGTATATATTCATATATGTATATATGTATATATGTGTATATGTATATATGTATATATGTATATATGTATATATGTATATATGTATATATGTATATATTCATATATGTATATATGTATATATATGTATATATGTATATATGTATGCATATATATCTATATATATATATATATCTATATATATATATATATAGGTATGGTACGAGGATTTGTAGAGTTTAGGGTTTCTAAGGTGGCGCTTGATATCTGTATCGACATCGGTTCTAGGTTTGGGGGATGTAAGTTCCCGAAGCGGACTTGCTGCAACTTCAAGCGACTTCGCAGAGCTCTTCAAGAAACCTTTATGATACGATGCCCTGCAGCCACCCGTTTAAGGTTTACAAGTTTATACCTCAAGGTTTTCGAGTGTAGGGCCTTGAGTTATTAGTAATGGTTTTCTTTAATGGTGCTCAGATAGCCCCATATTACCGGGTTTCGGGCTGCTGTCGCTTGACCTCAACCCAAAACCCAAACCGTAAACGCTATAAACCCCAAGGTGGCTCATCCGCGGTCATGACATTCTGTCACTTGAGGACGGGGCTTGGTTGCAGATGTTAGGCTCCCCCGCCATGCAGCCTCTTCACAAGTTAAGGTTAAACTATTTCGGGTTTAGGGCTTGTGAGCCCTGATGCTTAAACGCCAGATATCATAAGTGGCTGCATGTAGCTCCAAAATCGCGCTCAAGACCCGCGCTCTTTGGCAAGGAAGCCCCCAGGAGATGAACTTGATCATGTGAATCATATATGTCAACGTTATTTGATTGCCGAGTGTTTCGTTGCAGGAACGGTATACCCCAGAGTGAGCGTACGAGAACTTAGGCTTTCGTTCACCCGTAGTTATTTTCTGTTCGTTATCACATTCTACCACGGTTGACAATTTGTTGCACAGTATGAGAGTGCATGGCAGTCAGGTGAAGCTTAAGCACCATGGATGTTAGGGTAGGCTCCGACAGGATCGGCTCGGGTCGGTTACCTCATGGGTTGGAACTCAGGTATGCAGCCATGCCTGCCTGCATGCATCTGCATACATGTGTATTATACAAAAATCACATTTATATATATATATATGTATATGTATATGTATATGTATATGTATATGTTTATGTGTATATATGTATATATCCTCTCTCTCTAAATTTATATGTATATATATATATATACATCTCGTTACACACATGTACTGGTTGATTGACTTATAGATACATGAGTACACATACAGAGCTGGTAGTGGAAAGAAGCCGCTCTGAGAAAACGGTACGTATATGCCTGCAGGACCCACTGCCCTGTCACGAGGAGCTGCTGAAGATTGGAAAGCTGCTTCGGATTTGAAAGCATTTGCAAGTACGCATATATCAGATGTATTCCGTTTATGTGCATGTACATCTGCAGGCAATAGCGGCATGGCAGCCCTAGGACGCACAAACGCGCATGGACACACAGACACACACAGACACTATGTGTCGCTCTCGCTCTCTCTCTGTCTCTCTCGCCCTCTCTGTCTCTCTGTCCCTCTCTCCTCGTCCCTCCTGCGCTTGATAGGGTTTAGGACCCAGCGCTCGGGTTCCACACCGGACGCGTGCCAACTGGCGGACATCGTTTTTGGGCCGGCTGTTATGAGGATGGATCGATTTGGGGAGCCGGAAGTCTGAACAGCATTTGCCCGAAACCGTAAACCTTAATGCTGTAAAGCCTGCACCCTGAATCCATCACCCTAAGCTGCACACCCTACTCCCTGATCCCAAAATCTTGGTTCCTCAACCATAAGCCCAAAGCCCGAGGAACTTTTCAGCACTCGGCGAACATTCAGAGCCTGAGCATATGCACATAAATAAATTAAAAAAAAAAATATATATATATATATATATGTTATAGTATGTATATATGTACAAGTGTAAACAGCTGCATGAATCCACATGTAAATAGTGGGTAGGTGGGTAGTTTGGTAGGTAGGCTGGCCGCTAGGCAGGAGGGCAGGTTGGAGCCTGTATGCATCCATGCAGTATGCATGTAGGCTGCATGCACGTGTGCATGTACGTACGTGCTTGTGTCTGCGTGCATGAACCTATGTATTTGCAGATGTACCTATCTATGTATGCATGCATGGATGCCTGTATGCATGTATCTATGTGTGCACCATGCCCAAGTATAGAATATACATGGCAAGCTACATGACGAATCAGTGGAGATGCTTTTCTCGTCGTAACCTGACTCACAATGCCAAGGTTGCAGCAATGGAGACCTGGGCATACCCGGAAAGTGGTTGTAGTCTCACATCAGTGGGCTGGGCTGACCCATCCAGACCCCGAGTTCAAGCAATTCAGCGTCCTTCAACACGCGTTGATGAACCTTGCTGGTGGGAAAGCACAGATGCAGATGGACTGTATTTCGGCGATCAACGGCTTCCAGCTGTCCATGCCCAGTGCTACAGATCAACTGAGCTGTCTTGAGTGGGATTTCTGGTACGATTACTTCGGCTGCCCGCAGAAGTGTGGAACATCACCAGGCAAGGATACACCTGATATACAGGCGGTGGTGAATTCCATTCCCGCCTATTGTGACATTGCAGATTTCACCTTGGTTTTAGCGCCTGCCATCAAGCACTCTGACACTCACCATACCATCAGCCAGCGCACATGGAGCAACCGCGGATGGTGCAGGCAGACAAAGGGAAATGTTGGGGCCGGATGAGCGAGCAGGTTTAAGAAATGTTGTACTACAACAGCCGTTTAGTGTCTAGGCTTGCTACAATATAACTACAACTCGTATGTATTCGTAGATGGTCATATCGTTTGAAGCTGGTCTTGTGTGTTCCGTGAATGTAAAAGGCATCATCTACTGAAGCTTCAGGCTCCAAGCGCAATCGATGTTCCAAGCTCCAAGAGGGACGAACAGTGCGAAGCCCCGACTAACATGCAAACCCCTCCAGAAGTCCCCAGAATTTGGAGAGGGAAGTGACTCTTGGTCCGGCATGGGATTCTTGAGATCCTCCTTTTGCGGTTTAGGGCTTTGGAGTTCTGCTTTCAGGGAATTTGCAGGAAGTCAGTCTTTGCTTGCTGCGTCACCCTAAGGATCCATGTGCCCAAATAGCATATACTTCCGCTCCAAAATGCCAAAGTATATACTATTAACCTAGATCACTACAATCCGTAACCAAAGTACCTGATTGTAAACCTAATTGAATAGTACCATTATATAGAACCCTAAGACTCCTAAACCCTGAACCCTTTTGGGCACATAGACCCTTAGGGTAAGCATGCTTTCGATCTCGATTTAGGAAGAAGTCTCAGAATACGCTCCGCTTGCTTGCGGTGTCCATCCTGGCTTGCAATGAGTATTATCATAAGAACAACTAGTATTCGTATTGTTATTTTAGTGATTGTTTAATTCTCTATACCGAACTTCTGGAATAAGTTCCCTCAACATGGCCCTGACTGCGTGCGATTTTTGCGAATAATATGAGGATCTGCAAAGATGTTCTGCTTACTTGCTGTGCTGTCAGACATCACGTGATTGTGTCCTGCAAGGAAAAAAAGGCCTGTGCCATAATGTAGGGGCCTTAATAATCAGAATAGGGCCTATAGGGTTTTAGGGCCCAGTATACTATAGTTATAAGGAACCCCTAAAAGTAGTGTAGGCAATTGTTAGAGCCCTACATTACCTGTTCCAGCGCCAATCTTGCACAGGCGTGGGTTCACGGCCCGGGTACATATTTCCTGCGTACCCGGGTTTGGAGGACTCGCGCCTCCCTATAGACCGTAGTAGTTCCTTTTTGTGGCTTATATTTAGGACCTAGGATCCTATTAGTTAATCCCAAAAAGGAACGACTATGGGGCCTATGGGTAGAGACTTCCTGAGAAGGCACTGGAGCCTATGCTATTGTGAAGTCCTGTGCATGGAACCTAAACCCTAAACCCTAACTTACCCTATAAACCCTAAACCCTAAACTCCTAAACCCTAAACCCTAAACCCTAAACCCTATAAGCCCTAAACCCTAAACCCTAAACCGACAAAAGCCCTCTGAAGCACTTCAGCGAAACCTGCAAGTCGCAGGTTGGAGCGCCTCGCGACAAAGCTGTCAGGTAACGACAAGAGCTTCTCGAGTTGCACCGCAAGGGGGTTAGGGGTTTAGGGTGTAGGGTTTAGGGTTTAGGGGTTTAGGGTTTAGGGGTTTAGGGTTTAGGGGTTTAGGGGTTTAGGTTGTGTTTTTCAGGGTGCAGGGGACTTGAGACTTGAGACCCCGAGTTTTTGAGACTCGGGCTTCAAAGGTCTGCTTGTGTTTATGCAGGCTCGGTGTATCTCCAGGAACTCGGGCTCTTGCTGCGATCAGCTACACTCAAATCATGCATCTCAGCCGATCACACTGTGCCGGGCCCGACCCCTAAGCCCTGAATACCAGACACAAACCCAGGTCTCGTGGTGGTATCAGCACCCACAAGGCTTCTGGTGACAGCGGGGCCGGATTGGATCAAAGCTTGGCCGGACGAAGGCGCACCCTTTGCAGGGCTCAGGAGGGTTTAGGGTTTAGGGTTTTAGGGTTTAGGGTTTAGGGTTTTGGGGTTAAGGGGTTTAGGGGTTTAGGGTTTAAGGTTTAGGGGCTTGCTGCTACTGCTGCTGCTAGTCACTTCCCAGGACTGCTGCGACCACCACCACCACCACCACCACCACGACCACCACGACTACTACTACTACTACTACTACTACTACTACTACTACTATTACTACTACTACTACTACTACTACTACTACTACTATTGCTACCTACTACTACTACTACTACTACTACTACTAATACCACGCAGTACCTACTACTAATACCACGCAGTACCTACTATTACTACCTAATTCTACTGCTACCACCACCACGACGACTACTACTACTTCTACTACTACTACTACTACCATTGCTACCTACTACTACTACTACTACTACTACTACCACCACGACGACGACGACGACGACGACGACTACTACTACTACTGCTACTGGTACTACGACTACTAGTACCTGCTATTACTACCTAATTCTACTGCTACCACCACCACGACGACGACGACTACTACTACTACTACCATTGCTACCTACTACTACTACTACTACTACTACTACTACCACCACGACGACGACGACGACGACTACTACTACTACTACTGCTACTGGTACTACGACTACTTACAGAACTGTCACTTCTGCCGCCAATCGCAACGACAACGCGACAGCTGCAGCTGCAGCAAGCGAACATGATCATGCTGGGGCTGCTCCTGCCGCGGCTACTACGAATTGTATGATTGGATGTCTACTTGCGAAGATTCTGCAGTGTCTTGCTAGGCTGGTTGAATCATTTCGCAGTAGAAACTGCTCAGCTCCTCTGACATCCTGCGTAAGCGACCGGGCGTAGTCCAAACCATCCACGAAACAGTTTGTGGTGTCTGTCAGGCAACTTCACCTTGGATGCAGATCGTGATGTTGTGCGGGAGGTGACAGGCCAGCTGATGGACATGAAGTGTCAGAGCTTGTGGGAGCAGGGTGACAAGGACAAATGGCGTTTCTACAGCGCGCTCGTGCCAAAAGCGCGAGGTTTCCAAGGCTGTCAATATGGCGAAAATCTTTCAGAGTTCTTAAACAGATACCAGCTGGACACACCAAGCTGCTTCTGTCTTGGCACAGCCCTGACACCATTGATCTTGGCAAGTATCGAGGGCAACTTGGATGTCATGACGCAGCTTCTCGAGAAGCAGGCAGACGTAAATCAGGTCATCACTTGGAACATGCCAGATGCTCACATCGATGGTCGCCACAGCGCCTTGTCTATGGCTTCCATGCTATCGACTCCAGAGGCTGTCACGAAGCTTCTGAATTGGGGGGCATCAATGGATCTTGTCAAGAACATGAACAACTCATCTGTCCTCTCCATAGCTGGATACTTTGGCAATGCCCCAGCTATGAAAGTGCTTTTGGCCCATGATGCGCGTATCGACCACTGTGATGACGAAGGCCCATGTCCTACTGTTGATGATATAAATCCTGCGTTACTTTAAGGACCTTATACTATGGGAACTATGGTATATTATTCCTTAGTATGGGCAATGCAGGGTTTATATCAAGAGCAGTATGTACTGTTATGGAGGATACTTTCCCAAATCACATCGGTAATTCCCAATAGAGAAACCCGACATCCTCAGCCCTAAGTTAAACCCTATAAACCCTATAAACGTACATAGGTTCAGGGTTTAGGGTTTAGGGTGCCCTTTGGGAAGGTAGCAACCCTCTCCACGTGGGAGCTTTCTCGCCGAACCCTTGGGTAACTCAAATCCTGCTGGACCATGGGGTCAATCCGGATGCGAAGCTCAGATGCCATATGGGAGTTTCCGAAAATGGGGGACCTACTATGGTACCCTAAATAATAGGATCCTTGTTATAAGGACCCCAAAATAAGGTACCCTATTTGTCGGAAACTCCCATATAGGAGTTTCCGAAAATTAGGGGGTACCTTGTTTTGACGTCCTTTAACAAGGATCCTACTATTTAGGGTACTATATTAGGGTACCTTATTTTCGGAACCCTTTATGTTTCTTGGGGTCATTTGTGTGATAATCTCAAATCAACATAGTAGATTAGAAGCTTGCATGTAAGAGTATAGTTATATGATTGTCTGTTTTCGGGTTTCTGGGATTTAGGCACCCTCTCCCCGTCTTCAGTACTTTGCGATGTTTTAGCGCGGATTGTGCCGTTCCGGTTAAGACAGCAACAGTAGAAGTCCCAGAAGAATACTTTCTGGTTTGCCGCCTCCAGCAGACGTGCATAGTAGAGCAACTCGAACGTCGGCTTTGCCGGAAATACTCCATCGCACACGATGCTAAGAAATGTATCCTAAACTTCGTTTCTATCTGACTTGAGAAGCACGAATACCAGATGGCCTTAAACCATATCGTACAAGTTAGCGTGGACAACTCATAGCATATTCTGGATTTGGCTCTTCATAGCCATTTCTATATACACAGCGAACATCCAAACAGTTCGATAAGCCGTACAGTGGCTTATGAGCATGCTGGGGCAGTTTACCCTTTCGTACCTATTACCTATCACCACCCCTTTCCTAACCCCTAAGCCTTTCCATGTAGCATCGTGAGCCCGAGTACTGCGCCACAACACTACCTGAGCACAATACCGCTGATCCCTCATCCGAAGCCGAGACATAGCCTTACTCCCAACAAACGGCGTGATGTGGATATGCACCCTGCCTATGACATATCCGTTTCTGAGGAAACCCTACAGACTCTAAAACCTGTACTCGGCTGTACCTCCACATTGGAGCGACGGTAGACCCCGGTGGACTGCGTAGCATCAGACTATGGAACCGACAGTTTTTTAAGAGCCTGAGATTCCCAAAGCATCCCAAAACTACCCCAAACCCTAAACCCTACGACACCCTAAACCCTAAACCCTAAACCCTAAACCCTAAACCCATCCCTGAGATTCTGCTACGTCGGAGCCACGGCCCTGGCAATGACGAGCATCTGCAACGCTGACCCAAGTCACGCTGAGAGGATGCTGAAGGCGATCCCAAAGGGTCCTATGTACTGTTATGGGGGACACTTCCCTAAGTCATAATAGTAATTCATGATATAGAAACCCTACATTCTACTATATAGGTACATTGGATCCTTTGGGGATGGTAGGAGTGGGAGTCGTAGTGGCACAGTTGGAGGTGGCAGGAGTGGGAGTCGTAGTGCCAGTCGTAGCAGCCTTAGCAGCAGAAGGAGGTGGAGTAGCAGTAGTACTAGCAGCAGCAGCAGCAGCAGCAGCAGTAGTAGTAGTAGTAGTAGTAGTGGTAGCAGTAGTAGCAGTAGTAGTAGCAGCAGTGGTAGTAGTAGCAGCAGTAGTAGCAATGGCAGTTGGCAGGAGCAGAAGCAGTAGTGGTAGCAGTAGCCACTGCCGTAGCGGTAGCTGTACGCTGCAGTTGTAGTAGTTGGAGGAGGATGAGGACGCGGAGTAGTAGTAGCAGAAGCAGAAGCAGCAAAGGTAGCAGTAGGAGCAGCGGTAGCAGAAGCAGGATCAGGAGCGGTAAGCATTAGCCTAAACCCTAAACCCTAAACCCTAAACCCTAAACCTTAGCATCAGTTGCCGTAGTCGTATTAGCAGTAGCGGCAGCAGCAGCAGCCGCAATAGTACCGCACTCTTCCGTGGTTGCCAGAAGTCCCAATTTGAGCGTATTGACCTCCAGCCACTTACTCCCACTTACCAGGACCACCCGGAAGTCTGTTATCCATTTTATCCCCGAGCTCACAATCTTGAACGCGGAACCCTAAAGCCCTGAACCTTAAACCCCTGAAGCCCTAAAGCCCTGAACCATAAACCCTAAAGACCTAAGCCCTAAACCCTACACCCTGAACCCTAAACCCTGAACCCCAAACCCTACACCCTAAACCCTGAACCCTACACCCTAAACCCTACACCCTGAACCCTGAACCCTGAACTCTGAACCCCTAAAGCAGGCGAAGGCAGATCCAAATCTCGCAGGCTCCTCGGAGGGATGCGACTCGGACAGCTCACTGGCAGGGCTTTCGAGTAATGTAGGGGACCTAGATAGTTACCGATACACGGAATTTTGGTGGTTTTTTATTTTGTAATATACTACAAAACCCTATTCTAATTATTCAGGCCCCTATATTACGTACCCTGAGAGACTTCACGGCTCAGAACCTGGGGCGTCGGATGTTTATTTAGGTTTCGTCGCAAGGTCGAATCCGAAAGCTTCGGGCTAAGCGTCTGGAGCTGTGGTTTGGTGCAGCTCAAGTTGTAGAGTGTAGGGTGTCGCAGAAATATTGGCTATTGGGTTCAGGACTAGCGGGGTTTCTGGTTCATATTCTACAATTCTACGTCACAGGCAACACGCCCACTAAATACAAGGCACATGCAGTGGAACCGTGGTCGCTTGAGAACACCGATATGTTCCTTTTTTCAGATGTATGTGAGTGTGGGTAAGACCACGTGTTCGAATGATGGTGATGATGATAATAATGATGATGGTGATGGTGATGATGATGGTGATGGTGATGATAGCGATGATGATGGCCATGATGAAGGCGGTGACGGTGATGATGGTGGTGATACTGGTGGTGGTGGTGGTGGTGGTGATGATGATGGCAGTCACAGTGACCACACTGTTGATTATGATGGTGATGATGGTTGTGGTGGTGATGTTGACGGTCACGGTGATGACAATGAGGATGAGGATAACGAGGATGATGAATAACTTGGTGAAGATGATGGTGATGAAGATGCTGGTGCGGGTGCGGGTGCGGGTGCTGGCGCTGGCGGTGGGGCTGCTGCTGCCGCTGCTGCTGCTGCTGCTGCTGCTGCTGCTGCTGCTGCTGCTGGTGCTGGTGCTGGTGCTGGTGCTGGGGGTGAGGGTGATGGTATTGACGATGCCGACGCTGCCGCTCTGTTGTTCTCAATCTGGTCATGTACCCAGGTCTGCACTCGATGCTCAGCTGGGGAAGCAAGAAGAAAATCGCCATGGGTGGCATGGCCAAACATCAAAGTCACAGGAGAGAATGTGCTGCATTCATGAATGAACCCCATACATGGGTCGGTGATGATATGATGGTTCCTTCTGAAGTTGAGAGAACCGCTCATCAGGACCGCCCCACATAGCCGGAGCTTCAATCCAGTGCCACGTTGTATACCTACAAAAGTTGTCAAGCCTGAGTTCAGCCACTGCTTCGGCCGAGTACACAAATTAGGATGACGACTAAGGTACTGTCCTTAGCTTATGACAAATAACGCACAGCTTGCACATGGGCTGGAAGGAGCAGGCCTTCCTGCTTCTGCGATTTGGTAAGCCATTTCGTGTGGCAGTGAGCACTCTGTTATTGCCGCATATCCTTCCTGACGGCATGGACCCAAAAACTGCACTGGGGGACTAGTAGTAGAGTCATGTGGGGATGATCATAGCGACTGTACCAGCGAGTCCAGGATTCTTGGGAATGTCGCGACAGAAGCTTGGTCTCTGCTTTTCTGCGAAGCCAGGTTGCGCTTCTGAGCTGGAGTGGAACTTGGCAGTAGCGCAACTCGGACTCGAATGTCCACCAGCAATAGTTTCCTCAGAGGCACGACCCCAACAGATGGAGATCTTGCGTTTGTCTAGTGTCGGTCTTAGTAGCACAGACCGAAAACGCAAACCCCCCCTGCCTGGCCGCAAGAACCCACGAGGACTTGCACCATGGTAGAGAAGCCGAGTGCCACATGCTTGTATATGGGAGTTTCCGAAAATAAGGGGTACCTTATTTTGGGGTCCTTATAATAAGGATCCTACTATTTAGAGTACTATATCAGGGTTCCTATTTTCGGAAACCCCCATATAGGATTGAAACACAGACAGTCCTGGCACCCCATGTAGGACGTCACGAATAAGCTGTGCCCGATCTCGGTATATTCCTTGGCAAAATCCTGTTTTCTTCTTCAGGCCCTGACACTACGATGCATCTTCAGAGATGCTTACTGATCGAACTCACTTGGCCCGAAAGAACCCTAATCCCTAAACTCTAAGCCCTAAACTCTAGACCTACTTGTAGTCTCCATTGTAGTTCCATGTTGGGGTTACCTTAGACAATCCTTAATATATACTTGGTTAAACCAAAAAAGGAACTGCAATGGAGACTATAGGTAGAGCCACGAGCTGCCAGACCCAGAATCACTTTCAACCCATTTTGGATTGGGGATTCAAGAGCAAGAGCAGGAGCAAGAGCAGGAACCCCGAAAAGAAACCAGCAGAGAGACAGGACTCCCCTTGACAATACCCAAATCACCCTTCGAGATTCTATTGGGGGGTGGAGGGCCGTTAAAAGCAGATTTGACAGTAGAAGGATTGGATTATTTGGAGGTTCAAAATAGTCATAATCCTGGCTCTGTACCTGTAAGCATCCCAAAACCAGATCCTCGCAGACGTAAGCCTCGCATACCCCACAGAGCCCCAAGAAACCCTGCGATCCCCAAATTGCTCAAGCGCCTCAACGCACACCATTGACGCCTACCCTTAGTGGTATATACTTGGGCCTTAAAGTGACGATCTTGGCTTGTTAAAGAAAAAGAAATGACTATAAGGCTATGTGAATAGTTCTGTAAACTAGGGGTCCCTTTTAGGGTCCCTTTTTATAAGGGTGCCGTACTATGTTGGGGACTTAAAAGGGGACCCTAATTTCGAGAACTACCCATATGTGAATGTGGGAAGCCCGATGGTGTAAGCCACGCCGAAGGAACAATGGGACTCCGTTGCACCTGGCAGCCATCAATGGCAGCACCTATGCTATGATCGGCTGTGCTATGGTCTCCATTCCTTTTCGGTTGGTTTTACCAGGCTTGTGTTTCAGATCCTATAAGGTAGCCCGGAAAAGGAGCTACAATGGCACAGCTCAAGGCGCAAGTTTTGTCTATGCATCAGGGGTCAGGGGTTTCTCTCAGAACCCAACCTGTTTTTTGCTGGATCCATACAGTCGGGGATCCTACAACTTCGGCTTCATGGCCCCCGCCGCTAGGGCCCGAGTTCAGGCCTGAGCCTAGTGAGAAGTCCTACAACCAGTCGTCGTCGGAATAGATATTATTCCTTAGGGTTCCTTATTATAAATATACTATAAAGGAAGTCCCAAACCCTATTATCATTATGAAGGCCCCTCTTTAGCATGAATACCACCCGAGTTGCAGAGTTGGACTTTCTGAAAGAGTTTCAGGTTTGAGAAGCCTCTCTCGAATTTGTTGGGGCTTAGGGTTTAGGGTAGAGTTTAGAGGTGTTCCGGAGTCTAATCTATTCATTATACGTAGGTACATAGACGTTGGTACACAAGTACATATCAGGGACTGTAACCGCAGCGACAGCAGATGGCGCAAGCATAGTCTGCTGGAATGAGAAGCTACTTCCCTGGGCTTGTACAATCTCGACCTCGTTATATACGGTTTGTGGATTTAGGATACGCTATTTCTTCTGAACAGAGGCCTCGAGATTGCCAAGTTGCTACTCGCTTATGGTGCGAATCCAGATGCGACTTGGGGAGACGACCAGCTTCGCGACGGCACTGAAACGCTTTGAGAAAATTGGTCTCGGTACAAAGGTAAAGTCTCGGTTTAAAGGCTTAAAGGTAAAGTCTCTTCAGTGGTTCTGTCGGGTACATACTTGTCATCGTGCCGAGTGCACAGAAAAACTCTGCTCAAGTAGGCAAAATCAGACACTTGTGACAGGCCGCACAGCTGGCTTTCTACCCGGCGATAGTCTCCCCTTATGCCAGTTCAGTCTTGAAAGCCTGCCATGCATGCCACGCTAAAGTTCCTCAGCTGCTTGTTTTGTATTTGTGGTGTTCGACAGTGACTTCACTACAAGCTTCTCTTGTAAATGGAGAAGGGCTCATCAATCGTCACAGAAATTTGAGGCCAGCCCGCCACTACGTCTGACTTGGGTTTTCAGAGCTATGACTTCTCCGCAATAAATAGCTTCAAGACAGCACTGTCTATTAAGGTTGTTGAAATTGCACCGTGTCTTGTCCAGCATTGTGTATAACAGGGCACGTGTCAGTTTCGATGTCGAGACACATGTGCAGTTGTCTGCCAACGGAAGTAGATGGTCTACGAGTCTACTTCTTCAAGCCTGTATGTTGCCCTTTCGGTTTCAATCCGGGAACCAGAGCCCGATTAAAGTTCTCCAAACTCTGCGATTCGGGACGTCCTTTTTGTGTAAGACTCTTCGGGTTCTAGAGACAGCACCCAGCCTAAACCCTAGCATATTCGTCACTTTACCTAAGATCAATGATGAACCCTAAACTTGATAGGTGCTAACATACGCGAGACGACCACACAAACTCCCATCAGAGGCTCACGGCGAAAGATCTCGCCCAGATGCGAGACCACCAGGACACTCATTAGGGTCGGGGTCGATTGGCTGATACTTGTGAGGATACCTTCGATGGCAGCGTTCCTGCACTATCGGTAAAGATAGTAAGACTGTGACATGTACCATGGTTAATCCTACAGGATTTTCGGGTTTTGTGTTATTACCATGCCCTAGGTATATGGCATGATAAAGCCGTAGTTCTCACAGTTTTGGGTACTGGGGAGGAATGCAGGAGTTTGAAGGGTAGGAAGAAGGTAGCCTTGTTTGTAAGGGGGCCCGCAGGGACGCTCCTGGTCTCTTGGCTGACAAGTCTTGATTTCCGCGTTTGACTGTAAGGTCCGGTGGTGCTGTGGGTCGATAGTGCCAGAGGAAACATTGCTAAACAGGCCATAATGTGAACAAATATGGCCCCTATACTGTCAACCCGGCGCATGCACACATTCATTGACATGCATGTAGTTTCTGAGTCTCATACTTTCTTGATGCCAATGTCCACGTTGTTTCTATGCGGCGGGGCACACCGAGTTACTTTGTGCAGTACTTTTCTGGCCACCATTACGAGTTTTACCGTCGGATCTTGAGCCAAGTCTAGAAGACAAAGCTTCGACTCGCCCCTAAACCCTAAACCCTAAACCCTAAACCCTAAACCCTAAACCCTAAACCCTAAACCCTAAACCCTAAACCCAGACTCTTTCAGGACATTGTTGAGCTCTTCGACAAATCACCTCGAAAAGGATCCCGGTGCTCGATGTCCTTATCCTCGTTGGACCTGGACATCGGATTCATGAGAGCTGGGGTTCCTAGATCAGTGCGGTTGCAGTGGTGGCAAAGGTGCGAAATGGCAGAGCAGCGTAGGGTCTAGGCTGTAGGAGATCCCAACGAGGTTGCTGTTTCTGTTCTTGAAGCCAAGCTATGGTCGTGGCATCAAAACCCGGAGTCACCTGTCAAGTTCGCCCTAAACCCTAAACCCTAAACCCTAAACCCTAAACCCTAACTTCGAATACCTGAGCATGGCCTTCAGCTCGATCCGTTGAAGCCCCAAAGGCCCCACTCAACGGCTTTCGTATTATCGCCCGTACTCTACTTGGAGGATCACGGGACTTGGTATTTATGGTTATAAGTACCTTAGTTGGGGTTATAAGTTGCTATAAGTATAGTTACCCTAGTAGCAACCTTAATCACTAAGTCCCATGATCCTTTAAGTAGATACAGCCTCCAATCAAGCCTTCGCCGCTCTTGAGGGTGGAACACCTTCCATCAGTACGGTGGCCTCGCTAAGCCGCTCCTCGCTAAGCCGCCTCCTCAACAGTTCGGAGAGATGTGCATAGTATTTACATCCAAAGTGGCACTTGTCTGCCTTGTACGGGTTGCAATGACGGTTTACGTCTTCAAGATTCTATGAAATTGTTCCTGTTGAGATGTGGTTGAGTTAGTGCTAAAGGAGGGTGTATTGGGGGGGTGTGGTGCGGGTTTATATACTAACCGTAATCGGCCAGGTACCTACTATATAGGGCCCTATGATAGGGGCTCTAGTACCTCTAGTACTAAGCCCTAAACCCTAAACCCTAAACCCCAAACCCTATATAGTAGGTACCTGGGGGGTTAGGGCTAAGTGTTTAAGTTTGCGCGTTTCGTGATGTTGGTGTCTCGTGTCCTGAGGACCAGGCTCGGCATCGTGTCGTCCTCACGCAACGTAAAGCCCCGACTACCGATACTTGGAGGTTGCTGGGTAGTTATACTTAGGGGCTGGGTAGGTAACCTTTAACCTTTTGGGGCTTCTATAATCCTACTAGAATTCAAAAGGTTAACCTTTTTGGGCTAGGGTACTCAGCCCCTAAGTACAAGTGAGGTCATAAGTAAGGTAGCTACAGTTATAACCCATATTAGGGGACTTATAACCCCACTTATAACTACCCATGAACCTCCAAGTAGGCCCCCTAGTAGTTCCTTTTTGGGGTTCATGTTTAGAATCTTATTAGGTAATCCCAAAAAGGAACTACTATGGGGCCTATGGGTAAAGCTCTGACTCTAACACCCAAACGGAAGCCTGAGCTTGCGCCCGCGCGCCTGTGCGAGTGTGTCTGTCTGTGTCTGTGTGTGTGTGAGTGTGTGTGTGTGTGTGTTCGTTTTCTTGTGTATGCTCGTGCATTCTGTCTTGTACGTTTGAGCATTCTGCATTTGTGCATTCCGTTTTTTCCGAGTTACAGGACTCTTTTATAGCATGTTGTTGCTGTCTCTTGAAAAGAGCGTTTGTATTGCTGCCGCATGTGTGCGCTCGCGGTTGCGCCTTTTTTCTGTTTGTATTTTGATGTCGAGGATTGCTACTTTTCACAGTCAGGATGGACACCCTCTCGACGCCCTCCCCAAGCCTTGCGCAAGAATTTCCTCTCGCTTGAAAGCCCCCAATAGCCGGCTCGATTTCCCGTACCCGGGAAGAGGGAAGGAGCTTTTTTGCAAGGCAACTTGAAGCCCTGGAAAACCCTTAAACCCTAAACCGGGCCTCAAACCTCCGGAAGCATCCTCTCCCAAAGTACAGGCTGCCCACCAGCTAAAAGGAATTGTAACATGTCACGTTCAGTAGGATGCACGAAATTTTCGCGTGTGTCTTGCAGGAGCACTGGGAAAGAACATTCAAGGATGCCTTAAGCAGTGTGACACGTTAATCGATAACGGCAGTATGGTTGCTACCAATTAGCATCTGCTGTCTTTACATGATGCTGATTTTTGGTGGGGGTGATGGTATCAATGAAGACGAAAATGATACGCAGGAGGAAAAAGAGGAGGACGATGACGACTAGGACCAGGATGATGATGGTGACTTTTGCAGCAGTGATGCTTTGTCGAAGGAGGATGGGCACAGTGATGGTGATCACGACCTTGCCAATTATGACTGAAAACGTGCCGAATGGCAATGAATCCATCTGGTATAGTGAAGCTTGCGGCCGAATTAAAGCATCATTTGGCTGAGGCAGTAGCGGGTCATGTCCTTCAGAAGACTTTCCGTGGGTAGGAGTCTGCAGCCGTTATTTTCCGTTTGCAATAAGCAACCAGGATTGAGTTGCAAGTCCTCTGGTAACTTTTTCGTGCAGCAAACTTTGCAATTGTCCAGTCTCTTAGTTGGCACCGATTATTGATGTGTGTCTGCCACAAACCAGGTTGGCAACTCCTAAATTGAAGCCCCTGAACCCTAAACTCCAAACCCCCCAACAGCCAAGGCAAAGGCAGCAGCAGCTTCAACAGCCCTCCACCATCACCTGTCTTGCAGACCAGGCCATTGATGTATCGTGGCTGGGAGGTTGCGGGTTTCCATGGCTCTCCGGGCTTCGTCGATTCCAAACTGCGTGGTCCCTGTATCGACTTGAGAACTTGACCGCATGGCAAAACTACAAGACTGCAGGGACACATCTTCAAAGGCCCGAAGGATTCGACAACGTTCTTCACTGCCCGAAATCTTGAAACTGCTCCGCCGGCAAAGGCAACCAGCTTAGTGTGCGGTTGCACAGCAGTGCTAGTGCTGCCTGCTGCTTCAACTACCATTGCTAGTACGTCATGATTGCGGGCAAATCCTATCACTACGACGCTGACAACCGCTGTCACAACGTTTCTACTATTACTATACTACTACCACCACCACCACCACTACTACTACTACTACTACTACTACTACTACTACTTCCGCTACTCCTACTACTACTGCTACTATACTAGTACTAC